TTGCGAAACTTTAACTTCAGTGCCTGTATTATTCCTTGATCCATTGGCTGTAGAATGGATGTGGTATTTGGGGGGAAAAACTTTAGCTTCAGATTTCGAAGAGTGATGTTTGGGTGACATGTGGCATTGTCCAAGAAACGGATTGCCTTTCTCTTCTGTCTGCCAAGTTTTCGGTCAAACTTGCGAAGCCAATCCTCAAACACTGCTGAAATCATCCAGGCTTTCTTGTTGGCATGGTATGCAACAGGAAGTGTTTTAGGGTTAATATTCTTGAAACATCGTGGTTTCATTGACTTCTCAATGATTAGTGGCTTCTCTTTTTCTCCAACCATGTTTGCACGTAACATCAGTGTTAATCGTTTTTTGGATTTTTTCCCACCACTGCAGTCGTCCCCCTTGACATGCAGACTTTTGTCCGTTGTGCTTTTAAAAAAAAGCCCAGTTTCATCCATGTTGAAAATGTCTCAAAGATCATATCCTTCACAAATTGTTGGTAGCCGTTCTTTCCATTCATCCACCACATCACAACTAACATCACCACTTTCACCATTCATCTTGCCAAAAACAATGCTGTGTCTTTTTCGGAATGCTTCCAACCAACCATTTGATGCCTTAAAATCATGGTTACCAATGTCAGCAGAAAATTTGAGTGCTTTCTCCTGGAGCATTGGCCCACACACTGGTAGTCGACGGGATGTAACATCTTTAAACCACTCCCAGCATAGTTCATTTACATCTTCATTGCCTGGAAAATAAACAATAAATTGGAATAAATTATAAGATCCAAAAAAGATCAAGCTGTAATACACCATTAATATTTATGCTTATTATTCAAGAAAATATTACACACAAAATAAATTCATTTAACTTACCAGTTTTGCGCATTTTGCTTCTTCTCTCACCAGGGACATTATTTTCATATTCTTCCATCACTTCTGCTTTTCTTTTTACAATGCAGCCAATCTGCGTCTTTCCTACTCCTAACTGCTCTGCTATCGCCCGGGCACTCTTGCCTTTGTCATGAAGTTGGACAACCACTACTCTCTCTTCTAAAGTCAATGCTTTTCGATTGGGTTTGCATGCCATAATAATAAGTATTCTCGATATATGCTAGGATGATGTATACACAATGATCGCTGGAGCCAAGTGATTCACTTCATGGATTTACTCGTGTATTTAAGGCATAAGAACAATGCAAACCTGTCAACGATCGGCCGCTTTCACAATAATGGCAACACTTTTCCAAACACAGACGGTGATTAGTCACATCGTTAGCACTGCCGATTGTACACAGGAAACGTCGTGTGTTGCAAAACAACAATGAATAATAAATAGGAAAGCATCAGTGGTAGACAATTTTCCAAAATCATAACGATGGCTGCAAAAATAGAAAGTCGGACGAACCGGAAATGAGCACGAAGACTTACGGTACGCGTAGTTTTGCAGTCCATTGTTGCAAGCGTCGATGTATCAAAACTGCCCAGAATAAACGACTCTTACTTAATCCGATTCTGTTGCGAATTATCGGCATTTACAGTCATATCGAACAAGGGTCAACATAAATAAAATTTGTTGAAAATGACCCCGAGACTGACCCTCAGTATAAAAAAAAAAAAAAAAAAAAAAAAAAAACGTTTTGCTCATGCGCGAGCTGATTAGCATAATTTATACGGCGATCAACAACAAACAACATGGCGGTCAACATGCATGCTGCAATCCCGCTATGAAAACAGAGCCAAAAAATGATTTATTATTTCATATATTGCGATATTTCATGTCTACAAGGTAAATAAATATTCTCTCATTTCAAAAAACTAGGCAATTTGTCTTTTTTTTACGGGACGGTGAGTATTTGCTCTTCAAGGGCGAGACAGTTCAGTGAAGTGTCGTGAAAAGTCGCGTTTGGAACTGCGGGCCGGCGAGATGCAGATCGAGAACAAGCTAGTTTTAATTCACTTGAAACTTTAAAAACAAGCTAGTTTTAATTGAAGCTTTAATTGGTCAATAAAATAGTGCTGACATCCGTCCATTCTCCAGATGTTATTCAACGAGAAATATTTTAGCAACTTCACACCCGAACGATGTGATCGACCCCCTTGTTGTAAGTTGTAGCCGGAAAGTCTGCATACTCAGTAGTCTGAACGTAACATACGACCGCTTTCCTGTTAGCGATTCGCAAGTAGCTATTGTCTCTTCGCGATCGTCTGATAAAAAAATGAGTGGTTGTTATACAAAGGTTCAAGTGTGAATTCGTTTCCAATAGGGTGGTCGTTGGTCGCGTTGGACAGGTGGTCGCTTTATCCAGTGTCATTAACGTGTAAATTGCGAAGGGACTGACCGAAGATGGTCGCTATGAGCAGGTGGCCGCTCTGCACAGGTGGTCGTTAACACAGGTTTGACTGTATTGCCATATTATTTCATACACCAAAACATTGCCAGCTATATACTAGTTCAGCTCACATTTTATTTATCCATATACATTTCCACTTTTGTATATTGTCTTTTTTTTGTAACACGTGTACAATTTTAATCACTCCTCACAAATCTAACAACTTTTGTTCCCCGTGCATCAGTTTAAATGATTGACGACCTCCAAGTTTCGATTGGTTTGCTTTGCAAGTCTTGAGATAGTTAGAAGATTTTTAACCAGCTTGAACAAATCATTTGGCCAAATGCATGTACTACAAGACACAAGTAATTCACTCAATTCAAATCACTCTCTGCAATGAGTGAGATGATCACCTAATGTTTTTATAAACCTCCAGAATAATAACTGGCTATATTGATAATCAAGTGAACATATTCTGGAATGGCCAGAACAACAATGCATTTCTCAACTGCTAGGGGAATCAGGAATTGGTATTTCTGATACGTTTACAAAAAAGCTGATCAAATAACTAACGATATGATACTTACCAATGGTATTTCAAGCGCCCAAAGTTCTCCTCCAAGTTTGCAGTTGATTTGAAGTGCAACTTTTTGAGTGACTGATCGCAACTTTTGTTGTTGACTTATGGTCCTGCCAATAATCACCTATGTAAGAAAAAATAAGTTATAAATAAGTCAGTGAAAGTTTCAAATTTTTAAACAAAAATTATTCATTTCAACTGCTTGCAACAATGTATTGTATGAAAGATAATCGTTGGTATCTGCCACAGGCAGTTCATGGTGAATCCTA